AGAGACAAATGAAAAGATGTAATATACAGGGATTCTGTATCAGAATTGTTGTGCTGTGTTGTCAGTTTATGCTAAAAAAGATTGTTACTGGACTTTCCAAAGTCCCAGATGGATGAATACATCTACCTCAAAAATCCAGTATCTGCTGAACTATAATTTTAACTGGGAACAGTCTTTCTACTGAAGACACAGTCTTTATGAAAATAGTTGACAGCATCTTCTGTGGAATAACCAAAGTAAAGCAAAGTTTACCCACATGAAACAAATAATTCTAGAAGCTTAATGACAAAGTGCCTAAATACTTTTAGTGGGTGGGAAGCCAGAGAGGGATGACGGTTGACCTTTAACAGTCTAGATGATCCAGCACAGAGAGGTCCTCAATACATAAAAGGCTTCAATTTGGATACACATAATACTTATTACATTACGCACACAAAGTTATTGCTTTATGTGGTCAACATTTTGATTACATTATGATCAGGATATTACATGACCAGTTTTTATTATGTCTTTATTACATGATAAGCTGTCATTAAATTATCTTTCTACAGTGATTTTCTGGCATTGCCAATGGATTCTGATTTCTGCAACAGAGTGTAAAAGAGAGAACATGAACATAAGAGCTGTTGTTATACAGTAGTATGATGGCAGATCTGAGACCTAATGTTTGATGTGCAAGAGAGCACGGGGCTTTGTAAAGTGAGATCTGAGCTCATTTCTGCAGCTGGCAGGGAGCCATGTAGTGACACAAGGAGAGGAGGGAGATGGAGTCTCTTGATTGTGCCTGCAAAGAGCTCCGCTGTTTCATACCAGTGATGAGGATACAATCTCAGTGTGAAAAGATGTCATGTTTTGTTCCCTCTGTCTTCCTGCTACTGCGACAGCTGGTCACTTGAGGGCATGTTATTTCCATGTGTTGAGTTCTTATGCTCAAATTTGTAGAGTTTTTGTGTGGGAAAACAGCTGCTTGTGGGGGTTGATGAGTGTGCCTCAGACTCAGTGATACCATAAATGTACTGTAAAATCAAAACAATGCACTAGAGGAAGCTAAAAGCTCAGCAGAGGTGCAGAGTTGGGTAACAATTTAGGCACAATGCCTTCCTCCATTTCACATTACAGAGTAACCTGGTTTAGTGTTGCACTAAGCTGCATGCACTAATCAATAGTTTTACAATCTCAAATCAGAAAAAGTTGTAAAAGGTATGTAAAATCAAAATTAAAACTGAAAGTAGTGATTTGTAAATCATCTGTTTGATGTGATACCTCATCAACTTTATTCTTTGTTCAAATTAAACACTCACTTCAATTCTGATTTCTGCAGCACATTCCAAAAAAAGTTGGGACAGTAAAGCATTTACCACGGTGTGATGTTGTTGTTCCTTTTCACACTTAAAAGACATTTAGGGACTGAGGACACCAAGTGGTTTTAAATGTGTCAGGCGTAGTTTTGTCCTATTCTTCCTGCAAACAAGTCTTAAGGTGCAACAGTCCTGGATCGTTGTTGATGCAATTTGAGTTTCAAAATGTGCCACACATTCTCTACTGAGGACAGGTCAGGACTGCAGGCAGGCCAGTCCAGCACTCACACCCTTTTCCTCCACAGACATACCTTGGTAATGTGCAGTATGAGGTTTTGCATTGTCTTGTTGAAATATGCATGAATATCCTTGGACAAGATGTCATCGTGAAGGCAGCATATGTTGCTCCAATATCTCGGTGTATGTTCCAGCATTAATGGAGCCATCACAGCGGAAGTTACCTTTGCCAAGGGCACTGACACAACCCTAGACCATGGCAGACCCTGGCTTTTGGACTTGTTGCTGGGAACAGTCTGGATGGTCCATCCATTCCTTCCAAAAAAGACCTGAAACACTGATTTGTCTGACCACAGTACACGTTCCCACTGTGTAATGGTCCATCCCAGATGCCTCAGAGCTCAGAGCAGTCGACTGAGCTTCTGGACACTGGTGACATAGGGCTTCCTTTTGGTACAGTACAGTTTTAAGCAGCATTTATGGATGTAACTACATATTGTAGTGCCTGACACAGGTGTGCCAAAGTAATCTTGAGCCCATGTGGTTATACCGCTTGTAGAAGAGTGATGAATTCTTGATGCAGTGCCGTCTGAGGAATCGGAGAGCACGGTCATCCAGCTTACTTGTGCCCTTTATGCACTGAAATCCCTCCAGATTCCTTGAATCTTTTAATGATGTTCTGCATCGTAGGGGGTGACACATCCATATCATTTCCTACCTTTCTTCAAGGACCATTGTTTTTAAACGTTTCAATAATTTTCTCACACATACAGTATGTTGGCAAACTAGTGGTCCTCGGCCCATATTTGCTCCTAAAGGACTCGGCCTTTCCTGGATGCCACTTTTGTACCAAATCATAAAGCAGTCACCTGTTGACATCACCTGTTTCTAATAGAATCACCATTTCATTGTTTTACCTCATTACTGGCCCTGAAATGCAACCGTTCCAACTTTTTTTGAATTTATAAATCACTATTTTTAGTTTTAACTTTGATTTTACATATCCCTTTTCTGATTTGTGGTTGTACATTGATTTGATTTGATTTATTCTTTCAAGCATGTAAAGACAGTTGATATGTCAGCACACATAATTTTACACATATCCAACAAATGCTAATCCAATATCAATTTGCTTATACCTAGTACATGCTTGAATGGAGTAGGAAGAAGTCAGACTTATCCAGTCCTACCCCATGACATCATCTTACCATCATTGGTTTGCAAGCAGTATCTCTACATAAATAATTCTCTTCTACACCACACAAGTAATATATTAAAGAATTATTACA